AAAAACAAAAAAAAAATATGAAACTAAAAAAATAAGTTTCTAAAAAGTAAAAAGAAATTAAAAAAAACAATAAAATCTAAATCAAATATTAAATAATAATTTATCGGCTTAATCTGCCTTAAATAATCTTGCCGAATATCGGCAGCCTAGAAATGAGATTTATGGAGACTTCCTGACAGGACACTCCTCAAAATGTCGCCCAACTTTGACCCATCTATTAAAAATATGCATTGAATCTCTGTTCCAGGAACTGCCACGCTGATTTGGTTCAAATTTTTAGGGTTGATGCATAAACACAAATAATAAATAAATATGAAATTCGAGCTTGATTAATACATTTTTAAACATTCATATAAATTTTTTCATTAAAAAAATAGTTTTTCAAAATATTCCATCTCAAAAAAATCACAATGGTAGCTGTGAGTATTGCGCAATATTTAAGTATAGTATTATGGGGTGCCTCTACCATAATTTGAGTTATGAATTTTTTTTACACCGAAGTTGCGTAAAATGAGTACATTACAAATTTACCAATTTTTCAAATTTTTTTTAGAATTATTATTTGAGTATGAAGTCTTGTGGCCCATTAAATTTTAGTCCAATAAATTGCAAGTGTAAAGCTACTGCAGAATTTCGTTGATTTTTTATATTTTTTTAGCTGACGGCTTTTTGCACTTTTTTCTTATGGAAGAAAATGCACAAAACCGTTTTAAAATAAAATAAAAAAAAATAACGCCTGTTTTTCACTCGCTTAAAACTTGCACAAAAGTGCATACTCAAAAAAATTAAACAAAAAATATTTAAATTTGTAATGTACTCGTTTTACTCAACTTCGGTTTAAAAAAAGATTCATAACTCAAATTATTGTAGAGTGCACCCATAATAATATACTTAAATGATGCGCAGAGCTACCATTGTGATTTTTTTTTAATTTTTTCTGAGATGGCATATTATCAAAAACTATTTTTTTATGAAAAAATTTGTAAAAATTGGGAAACATTTTTTCAAGAATTTTTTTTTTTAATATTTCTTTTAATAGAGAATTTTGATTTGAGTATGTTTGATTTTTTTCAAATTCTTTCCTCGTTCCGTTCTCCAGATAATTGGAAAACTATTAAATTGATTTGTTTTTGTTTTTGTACTGTACAGTTTTTAAAAATGTATTAATCAAGCTCGAATTTCATATTTATGTATTATGTATTTGTATTTACGCATCAACCGTAACCATCAACCAATTTTAACCAAATCAAACACATGAAGTGTGAACCCCGTCCTTTTTGGTATGGAACGCCCCATATATAAATATATCGTATGTATATGTGTATCGTATTTATTAAATTCCATTAATTTTGACCTAAACATTTTTTGTATCAAAATCGTATAAATGTAACCTTTACCAAACCCCATATTAACAGATTTGTTTAAGACTCCTTCTCCCTCTGCACTTTCATTCAATTTATTCTCTTTATATCAGCTTATCTGGCAAATTTGCAATGTGGTAACATGCTGATTTCATTTTCAAACTATACACATATGAACATACATATGTATATACAAGCATTTTGAATTTGCCATAATCAACGTCATTGTCATTCTGCTCAGTGTTGCTGATGCGTCGTTAAGTGGTACCATTATGTGATATAAACTCAAGCCAAACATTTCGCATACCAAACGTTGCATACATCTAGATATTCTATGATTTTCGAACCTCAATTGCATATAGCCTTCAACTTGTGGTCTTGAATCATCATACCAATCCACCAGTCCGCCCATCCTACGTCGATGTACGACAACTAACCAGCAGCGGTATGGAACCATCCCTCTCGACCAGCACAATCATTTAATCCATTGGCATACAAACAACATTGCAATTACTGAAAAATCGAAGCTCCACTTGTTGTTGCCGCCCATTTTGCATCCTCTTCATTGTACTTTTACACACACATGCATGTACATGTATGCATGCTATCATACAAATATGCATGTACATACATATGTATGTGTGTATGAATAAATTGGTATGTTTTTGACTTGTTTGCATATCGTTAATGTCATTGAAATGACTTTGAATCTGCGCTTGCATGCAAAAAGGAAGCATATCCATGTGCATACGTGCATACAGAGTATACTTGTAGATATATGTATGTATGAGCAAATGTGCTTGACTCAAGCATGCACATGTTCTATGAGATGCTCTCCATACATCATGCACTCCTACCTATCTACTGATAAATTTAGCACAAGCTTTATTCATCTGTTGCTGCCAATCACGAGCTGCATATGCACTTTTAATGGTTGATAGAGGAGGAAACCTTAACACTGCACAAATTTTTGACTTTACCCATTCACACACACAGCAACTCTCTCTCTCTGTGTCTCTTTTTATTAATTGTAATTACTAGCTTGTGCAAGCGCATCGAATTAGGTTATACAAGCGAAAGTGAAGTACATACATGTGTACATGTGTATGTATTTTGAAAATGATAGCTTTCGATTTGTTTGCACATCAAAGCTGAAAAGTAAAATTAGGTTTTATATTAGTTTCTGCTTGTCTAAATAGCTTAATGTTATTTGTTTTTAATTATGAGTATCACATTAAAATTTGCATATATGTATATGAGTGAAAGATCAATTATATGTTTTTAATGAAGGGGTTTTTTCCATTGCATGTTTTGTTGATTGCTAAATGAAATATGACAAGCTCATTATATTGGTTAGCGTATCAACATTCGCTATAATGAATTAAAGCTAAATGAATACTTAGTTATAGGAAAGTGTATAATAGCCAAATTTATAAATTTATATGCGTATATGGAATCATTGAATTGTAATTAAGAATCGTATTTAGTAAGCCATATTGCTCATGCTCAAAATAAAGCACTTAGCCCTCCCTGTGTTTTCTACCAGTATGGCCTCACGTGTATCGAGACTACCCGTTTTAAATAGCGCATGGAATCGGCGCATCTGAGAAGCTAAACTTGCGATGCGATTGCTACCCCTAAACCATACTCGCAACTGTGTGGCCTCTTCAAAGGACTGTTCATCAATGTTCGACATCAAATCCGGACGAGTTTTTGTACCATTTTCCAATAGTAGAGCAAACATAATGCTTAAAAATATACCAGAGATCAAGGTTCAGTCCATTCAGTGCATAAAATAAGGCCGCGAAAGAGAGTGTCCGCCAAGAAGATCATGGTGCCATTTCTTGGTATTCACATTGAGTGCCTGATAACGGATATCAGTGAATTCAAACTGATAGATTCGATATTGATTTGACGCAAAAACGACCAAGTTTGGTGAAGAATAAGGTGCTCCTCTATCAAGGTAATGGAAAAATTGCTTGAAATTGGTAAGGTTTGCTCTAACATTCTGCGGATTTTGCCTCCTAACACTATTTACTGCTTCCAAATCTAAAGAAGAAGTGATCATAACTGAAGCCAACGCATAGGTTTTCAGAATTTGGGATTATTATTAAAATAAAAAGGTGCCCAAAAATTAAGTGAAATAAAAAAATAGTTTTTTTTTTAACAATAAAAACTAAAAAGTAAAAGAAAATCAAATTAAAAAAAAGAAAATTTAATAAAGTTCGTTGCTAAAAATTAAACAATATCGAAAAAAAAAATTATTTTTAAAAAATAACTTCTAAAAATTTAAAGAAAAGTGAATTAAAAAAGAAAGAAAGCAATAAAAACTAAAAAAAAAGTTCTTTACAACTAATTGAAATTGTAAAGGAAATATTTTGTTTTAAAAATAATTTATTTTTAAGGCTAAAGAAAATTAAATTAAAGAGAGAAAAAGAAAACTAAAATAAGTAAAAAAATTAAGTTAAATAACAAAAAATTATTTTTTTTAACAAAAATTCAAATTTTACTAAAAATATATTTCTAAAAATTAAATGAGATTTAATAAAATTGTTTCTCGTTAAAAAATAAAATCTAAAAATTCAATTACAAAAACAAAAATAGGACAGGTTTCCAAAAATTAAATAAAATTAAAAATAAATATGCTCTGACCTAATGTCGTCAGGTACTTTAAAGTTGCAAAAGCCTCTAACTAAAGTACTACAACTCATTTCACCTCACATCAACTCAACTCCCTTCAACTCAACTCAACTGACCTCACCACAATTCACCTCGCCACAACTTGCACCACTTCAAATCACCTCATTTCAGCGACTTTTATTTCTGAAAATCCAGAATAATTTGGAAAAATCTTGAAGCTACAAAAAATTGCGAAATGATTTCGAAAATACAGATAAAGCCACGAAAATCCTGAAGAAGTGTAGTCCCTATGCAGCCCCGAAAAGTCAGAAATAGTCCTGTGAATCCCAAAGCAGTCACAGAAATCTCGATATATTTCCCAAAATTCCGAGGTAGTCCCAAGAATTCGAAATAGACCCGAAATTCTCGAAGTAGTCCAAAAATCAATAAATTGTCCCGAAAATCGAGAAGTATTACCAAAGAGCTAAAATACATATACCCTTTAATCCTATTTGGCTCTTCATAGTTTTAAGTTTGGCACTGGTCTCATTCTCAGCAAAAAAAAAACTATAAATATTTATCTCACTTCTACCATCGTTACATCTCAATTTGTGCGCAGCATAGCGGAGGATGGTACGAAGTGCCACAAGAAATGTTGCAACTTCACTTGAGGTACGCCCAAACCAAGTATCTCATCCGCCACAATAGAGGGGCGTATCACGCTGAGGGAGTCGATAAAAACTACGTTTATGCTAATGCAATGCTATGCCGTGCACTAAGATGGGACGACTGGGTGGTTGGTTGTGCAAACGGCGGCTTCTACTTTTGCTTTTTTTTTGCTTTTAAATTTTTTTCCAACATATTCAAGTCAATATTTGGGAATGTGACAACAGAAGTGCAAACAGAAACAACGACAAAAACTAAATTGCACGCAAAGGCATAACAACAACAACAGCAGCACTAACTGCTGCATAACCAGCAGCGTTTGTCTCATGCAACTTCAACAATAAACGTACAAAGTACGCACCGTAGACGCTTACAGCAACAACCAGCAGTATATACCGCTGGCATTACCCGCTGTGGTGCTGTATTGCACCAGCCAGCCACCGGATCAACAGTGTCATTTACATGCAAATGATGCAAGCAAACCGTTGGCGCTCAACGGACTACAACAAACTACTGTTGTCTCAACCGAAGCGGGGCTGGTTTTTCAACTATGTACTACAACTACAACTACAACTACAACTACAACTACAACTACAACTGATATTACCAGACAAAAGCTCATTGCAACAAAAAATGCAAAAACTCTTTAACAACAACAAAAAATGGCAATAAAGAGTAGTCTCACCACAATTGCCAGTTGTCCGTTGCTGCTGTGCTTTGCTGTACTGTGCTGTGCTGTTCTGTTCTGTTGTAGAAAAAGTGAGGTGTCAACGCGTAAAGCACATAAAAGAAAAGATCTCAAAGGGTGTACGTGCAACGTTTTCACTCTGATCTCTTTGCAAGTAGCTCGTCGGTAGTTTTGTGTGTGCTGCGACAATTACGTGCGGCAGATGAAGTTTCTTGGGTTAATGGCATAAGTGCTGGACGCAAAACGAAATTATGCTGTCGACCAGCGTGCTGTGCTAAGAGGACAAAACCCCAGTAACAGCAGATAGAAAGGACTCTGGCATGCTTGCTTATATGGAATACATTACCTACATAGTTATGTGTACAGAGGCTGCACAGTATTTGCATAGTGCACGAAATAAAATGCACGCATACATAGAAGTTTGTAGCATAAGTGTGTATATGGGGCGTTCCATACCAAAACGAACGGGGTTCACACTTCATGTGTTTGATTTCAAAAAATTTTCAAGAATTTTTTTTTTTTAATATTTCTTTTCGTAGAGAATTTTTGTGTGTGTATGTTTGATTTCCTTTTAATTTTTTCCTCGCCCCGTTCTCTAGATATTTGGAAAACTATTAAATCGATTTGTTTTTGTTTTTGTGCTGTAAAGTTTTTAAAAATGTTTTAATCAAGCTCAAATTCCATATTTATTTATTATTTATGTTTATGCATCAAACCCTAAAAATTTGAAATAAATCAAACACATGAAGTGTGAACCCCGTTCGTTTAGGTATGGAACGCCCCATATATATGAAAGAAGAGTAGCTTGACATTTGTAGTAATGAGTAGCATCTTGCAAAGTCATTATCACCGAATTTATTTTTTAAATGTTTAATCAAAACTAAGAGTGCACATGATTACATAATTAATTTGCGGAAATATTCAACAGTATTATGGTTGACGACGGGCATCTAATAAGGCAGGCAATTTTTTTTTAATATATCGGCTTAGCTTAGATTGGCTTAGCGTACATTATTCAGGAGTTTTCAGGATCACTGATGACGAAATTAGATTTTAAAAATTCTTATCTACCATTTATCACGGAAAAGTTCAAATCGAACGTACATACATGGCGTATGAGTAACATTCTCATCTCGTCTGAGTAACTAATTTTAAAGGGTTTGGGCTGTAGATGTGAAATAAGTAGAGACCCAGAATAATAATTATTTAATGATGGAGTTTTAAAACTGTCATCTAAGTTTTCGTAAGAGTTATAAAAGTCTTTTGATAATAATTTTGTGGGGGAAAATTTTTTGAGGTCATCGATAACTATTATTTTAAGACTTATATAATAGAAGTCATTTCATAATAATTACCAGGGAGATAAATATTTTTAAGTCTTCAAAGACTTTTGTTTTGATACTTATATTATAAAAGTCTTTTGATAATAATTATGAGTCCCGAACTGGTCCACCTGTTGGAAAAGTTAATTTCAAATTCTTTAATAAGTTTAATTAATTATTAAAAGATGGGTATCAATCGAAATGGACTTGAAAATATTTATTTCTAAACTATGTTACGTGTTTTAGAAATTTAATTCAACTTCACTTATCAGTTAGGTGAAATACGTATCACAATGTCAGACGAAGAAGATTTAAAAATTTTTTAGTTTGAAGATACTTTTAAAAAGTGTTTGAAGTGTCGAATTTATTTCAGTTATACATAAGTTAAATTAAATACTAAAATATGAGGGTTGCCACCTATTCCAATGTTAATATCTATCTAAATATATAAATGTATATACTTACATAATACGCGAAAGCATTATCTGTGAAGGTCATCAGATCTGCACCATTATGACGAATGTCATAAGTAAATGAGATGGCAAATTAATTATAAAGTTTTAGCTTTTGAAGTTGGAACGTTTTTCTAGCGGTGCTGGGTTATTTGAAATTTTATCAAATATAAAATCGGTATCAGAAACGGCTGGACGGATTAAAATGAAACATTTGGAATATTTTTTAAAGTTTTCTATAGATCTGCCACCTGTTTAAAAAGTTAAATTAAATTATGGCGTTTTGACGTCATGCGAGTTCGCTAGTGTACATGTGTTTATTTGCTGAGTTTGCTTTAAAAGATGAATCGAAAAATATATATTTTTTTAATTATTTTGATTTTTCTTTGCAGCAGCGTTATAAAGCTTAAGATCAAATAGAAAATTCAAAAGCAAAAAACTACTTTGCTTTCAGCTCCAAAGCGCGTTAGAAAAAGCTTACTGTATGAGGACTTCAACTGCAGTAATTTGAAAGCGTCGCTCCGCTCAGCACGGCATCGCTCGGCTTGGCACCGCATTCTCAGCCTACGTACACTTATGTACCTTTTTTAATTTTTAATAAACAACCGTTATTTATTGCTTCTAACATATACTTTTCTATGGGATTGTAGCTAATAACCTGATCGCTCTACTTAGAGAGGATCGAAATTCTCGGCAATGTATTCTTCTTTTTAATATTTTTGAGAATTTTCTGGTCCCCTCTGAGGCAAATAAAATCGCGATGCACCGATATAGATTCCATTTAAAGGATCAGCGCATTTGCTGCTACAGTTTGCTGAAAACGAACAAACATAGAGATATATGTACATATATACATACATATTTGCGGCTACAACGAATATGTGTACATATATCAGATCTATTTACCACTCTACGCGCGAATTTTTCTCGCTAGCTTTGAGCTTAACAAACAATTCACGTGCAAAATAATTTTTCCAAGCGAGTTGTTTAAACACATTCAGCAGATAAGTATAGAAATATACACAAATATGTACAGCTGTAATGGTATGTGTGTGTGGAAATTCGAGCATGTGTGCGCATACATTTAAATCATATCCGCTTAAGCTCAGACACAGGTACGCACGCAATCGCTGAAGCCGCCCACACACGAGCTACAACAGTAGAAGATACATCCCAAATTTAGCGCTATATATTTCTATTTCTATATAAATATGTATACATATATATATAAGCGAGTATATATGTATGGATTCTCTCTGCTCGCAAATGACTAACACTACTTAGGTTATTATTATTGTTGGCAACTGAAGACTGCAAGCGTACTGAAGGCGTTTGCTATGTGTGTGAATTACGCGATATACTGGAGAAATTTTTTACGCGCTCAGCATTTGTAAAATGGTCCTTGCTAAATTTTTAAGAAAAAGGAGATATACGCTTAAAGCGCACATCAGAGCACATTTGTGGGTAGAAGACTTTTTTTGGAAAAAGTTCGTGGGCTCAGTTTGCTGATATAACATATTTGACTAATTTTTAAATAAATATGTATATATTTTCTTTAAATCATCGGCGTTTCTGCATATTGCAATAAAATCTTATTTTTAATTACCTAAATTTTTAATCAATTAAATTGCATCTTTCACTTTCGTACCCAAATCTTAGTTTCATTGCCTAAAACAGCCTTTAAATATTATCTAATTAGTTCAGTTTATGCTTTGCCTCCTCATTTAATATTCTCCTTTTGCTTTAGTACGCCCACCACCACAACTTCAATCGCACCATTTGCATTTTATTTAGTTAAATAATGTTTTTTTTTTTTATGGTCTGCGACTACGTTATCTCAGTGTGTGAGCATCTCGTCGAAGTGCAGCTCGGGTACAACGCTGCTCTATCAAAATTACAAATACAACATCGCACGCGTTCTGCATTAATTAATTTCGCATATCCTTTTTCGCCTGCGAATGTGCTACTAACTACGTTCACTCGATTCAGCAGCTCGCCTTTTTTCCATCTATCCTTCTATGCTCTTGATGTTGTCGTTTTACGAGTAACCTTCTTCGCTACAATAAACATAATTTCCGTAATAAATTAGAGATTTTTACTTACGCTCCATTTTCGTTCATATAAATACTTGCTTTCAACAATTATGAATATAAACATACATGTATATGTATATGTACTTATATACACTGGCGGCAGAAATAATAGACTCGTCGTACTTTTAAGAAATTTGGCTATATTTATTTAGTTTATTTTATGTTTAACATTTTTTTATAAAAGTCTAGGTTGTTATGCAACAAACATCATATAAGTCCGCTTTTCAAACTTTGAACAAAAATTATAAAAATTTGACAAATTTTCACCAAATTTTTGTATAAAGTTTGAAAGGGGAATTTACATATATGGTGTGTGTTGTATAGCTAGCCAGGCTTAAAAAAATGTAGACATAAAATAAACCATGGCATAAAAACCAAAACTCTTCAAAGTAAGGCGAGTCTATTATTTCTGCCGCCACTGTATATGTATATGTATATAGTATTTATATGTTAACGTTTACTGGGGTAGTGTGTACAACAGATGTATGAATATCGAAAATATATTTAGTGGCAACTCTTACAATGGATAAAGCTACCTAAGTACCTGTCCTTAGGTTACATAGGCAAGCGGACCACAAGGTATATGGCCTCTAGCTGCTCACGCTATTTGACACCCTCTGCCACCACAGACATGATGCTTCTATGCTTAAAACAATGTCCATCAAGCAGAATTACACAGCATCAAGGATAGCAAGACCAGGGTTGGCCATCCCACATGTACCCAGACCCATATCGAATAGCGAACAGCCTCACGAGGCACATGCAAATCTTACAGTTTAACTACAATAGACTCCATGTTAAGGCAAAAAATATAGCCGCATTTATGGGCCGTCACGATTAATTGATAAAAGCAACAAAGTTTCACAGCAACTCGGGTTCATTAGCTGCAATATGGGGCATATAAATAACAAAAGCGAGAAAATAGTGAAGGCTTAGCGTTAATCTTATCAAGTGTTGTCTTATCGAAACAGATATCGACCGCTGGAATATCATGTTAGAAAGTCAAAGTAAAACTATCCGGTAAACACGCCAAGTACGTTGGCATTCAAGCCTTGCAAATTTGAACCGGAAGATCGCATAAACGACTTGATATTC